TTCCTTATTTGCACAAAAAAGGGCATACAGTACTGATTGAGACTGACCCACTGGAGTGACTAGCCTACCAGTGCCTTTTTTAACTATATATCTGGGGGGGGGCAATTGCCCCCCCCCCCCAGGGAAATAATTCCCCCCCCCCCAGTAAAGCCATTTCCGCCCCCGAAGTGCGAAGCAGAATTGCTCATGATTCCTGTCAGAATTGCAGTTGATATACTAGATAATGAGATTATGTCTTTCCATAGCCTCCTCCACAGCCATGCATCTTGTGTGTAATTCATATTGTTCTTCACCAAGTACTTATAATAGCGATAGATTTCATGCAAACAATCCGATAAAATTCTAGCCATTCCAAGCCTTGCGACTATTTCCTAGCACTCTCCTCTGCAGAGGCGTTGTGTTTTGTTTTGGGAGTTTTATTGCAAAATTTTTTTCTTAAAAATATCAAGTTATATAAAGAGCCCCCCTCCCCTCCCCCAGTCGCCACAAAAACCATTCTCTCAGAAAGGCTAAATCCGTAGAGAAATTGGGGAGGGGGGGGGGGTACACGTTACATGCTCGAAGCTGAAACTGAATAAGTACGTCTCGACTAAGGAAAAAGATGATATACTGGAGGAACTTATTTGTGAAATCTTGTTAAAGCAGTTGTAGATATGGTTCCAAGAATAGATTTAGTTTAGATTTTTAACTGTTAAGTATATGTATGCATCATCATAGCAAGAATATTTCTAATTCTCAGACTTATCCTGTGTCGTATGAAAAAGCAACGCAATTTTGAGAATGCGGAAATGATGTCTCATAGAACCTAAAATGATTTAATGCAACATTTCTGATCAAAATCACATTGGGATTCCCCCCCCCCAGCATCACAGAGAGGAAATAAGGTGACACTGACCCCTCCTCCTATTTTTCAAGGTGACTTTTCCAATTTATTTAATTCCGAGTAGAAATGTCTGGAAAAATTCATGTATTCGATGTACTTTATAATCTTAGGAATTCTGCTAGATTTCACCCCAAAAATGCCGCATGAAATCGCAATTCAGGGACCCCAGATTTCAAAATTTTCCGGACCCCGGACCCTCCTAAACGGTCTCGGCGTGAGGTTCACCCCCACCCCGCAAAATTAAGGTTTGGCTACGCCACTGGCTATAGCTGTACGATTATAGCTACAAAGAGTTGAAGTTATTGTTTAAAGTAAAATATAGCTGCAGTTAATAAATTAAAGTTTTACAAAATCTGTCTTAAGACTCGCGCGTTCGCCAAACCTCGACGGCTCATATTTTTCGTTCAGCCTTTTTTCCTGTTTTGCCCCCCCCCCCCCAGTGAAAATTCCTTAAAAAAGGCACTGTATTTTACGCTTTTGCTCGCGCCTGCGCGTGAAAAATCTCGGACATAATTTTGGCTAAGTGGACCTTCTGGTATATTTTCTATTCTGTGGTCTCATGGTTACAGTTTTCCGGCTTAGTATACGTAAGTAAATTTTATATACTGTAGTTTTTCCGGTTATAGGGAACGCTCCGTATCAAAAGAGCGTGGAGTTTTCTGTGAAGTAAACATACCATGCCTTAATTTATTTTCCGTGTATTGCACGAAAAATAGCGTGGAGTTTTCCGCGCAGTACACACACACTACACGCAAATATCCGTGCACTATTAAAGGAATACCAAACGGTTTTCCGTGCAGGATTGCGTGATCCATGCACGAGGGATGTCGCGAGACTTTCGTAAAGCGTAAAAATACTCGAGCCGCAGGCGAGTGTATTTTTACGCTTTCCGAAAGTCGAGCCACATCCCAAGTGCATGGATCACGCTATCCTGCTTGGAAAACCATCTGATAATTGTTTTATAAAATAACTACAGTGAAACAATGACATTTTGAGAATCCCGCGTAAATCGCGTGAAGGCATTTTAATTCCTCGTGCAGGATAACCTGATTCTGCACGGCTATTGACCAATCAAATTGCGTGTTTCACTGTAGTTATTATATAAACACCCACACTACACGCAAAGATCGTGGATTTTTTCCGTGTACTACACCCAAACTACACCCACGGAGTTGTTAAAATACTTTTGAGCTGCACTGTATTACTTGCACTCTGTATAAAGCCTAGCCCATTGGACCAACTTACTGTATCTCCTGTGGACTTGATCCATGGACTACCTTTAGTTATCACATTGTAGACCTGGTTGATTATATAACCACCCTACAACTCTGGTTCATGCACCAGGTCCACAGGGTGGTTATGTAATCCGTTGAGCATGGGTACAGGATGGTAAGGTGACCACCTTGTGTTGCATCTTAATAATACACTGTGGACCCCTGTGGGCATGGTCCATGGTCCATTCTGTGGACCTGAACTATGAACCACCTTACTACCATACATGTGGACCGAGTTCAAGGACAATCCATTGTATACCTGTCACGTTTTAGGGGGAGTTACTATTTTTTGACTTTTGTAATTTTGTATTCTTTTGTATTTTAAACTTAACCCTAATCCTAACTCTAACCCTAATCTTAATCTTAACCCTAATCCTAATTCCTAACCATTTCCAGCTTTCCCTAATCCAAACTCTAATCCTAAAAGTCTAAATATAGTAACTCCCCCTAAAACGTGACTCATATTCCAAAGGGTAGTAAGACCACCTTATGGCTTACCAGCCTGCAGACTGGTGCATAAACCTTACCAGCCTGTGGACATAGTCCATGGACCTTAATTAAGTGCCACACTGTAATACCACACTGTACTGACTGTAGGTCTGAACCATGAACCACCTTGAATACCACCTTGCAGACCTGAACCCAATGGATTAGATGGTTATATCTAATATAACAATTGTGCTACAGTGTGATGCCATAGGTTTAAGTAGCTAATATGTTTGGATTGTGTAAAATAGTATCCCAATTATGTGACATGTAATTTGTTGTTCTGTTAGATCACTAAGTTAGATGTATTTATGTTTATATTTACATATTGTAGTTTGTTTCATGTGCACAACCACATCAGCTATGCTGTAAATTTACCATCATGTTTAAGACAATTACCTTACCTCATTGTAGACTGGTGCATGAACCACCTTACACCCTGTAAATATAGTGTAGTCCATGGACCACCTTAAGTACCACATTGTAGACTTGAACCATGGATTAATCAGACTATCTATACCCAGACTATTTAACTCATTAAGTTGGATTGTGACCCATTGCACCCTATGTTATTATTTTATTCTGTCTAACACCAAACAATTTTACACATCGATGGGTTAATTTGGGCATGGGATATGACTGTGTCAAGTGCATTTTAGCACTTTAGGCCATCCCTGCATAAATTACATTCTCAAGGCCCATCAAGGGCATATATTTGTTGTAGAAGTTTGTTGAGGACCAGATCAAGACTTGGTGTCAGTATAGGTTAATATTAATCGAGAATGACTTATATGACATTGTATAATATAAACATTGTACATGTATATCCCAAGTTAGAGGTTGATAATGGACTTACATGTATTTACTACATTGAGGAGGTACAGTGTATTCGAACAAGGTTTTATCCACAAGTTTAATCTAATTATTTATTCACAGGTTATATGAGGGGGGTAATGGGTAGTACCAATCCTGAAGCATGAGAAATAATATGCAGTGATCTTGAAACATGAAAAATAAAAGAAGGAAGTCCTGAAGCACGTAAAATAACAAATTTATTAGGAATCTGAAATGTAAAGGGAACATACTTAGAGGTCTTAAAGGTGAATAACAGTCTCTACCGGGCGATGTGTTCACCTATTTGTATTTGTTTACATTGGCGTCGATGTTCATGATTTATAAAATTTGAAACCTGCGTTCCCCAATCAAAACAGGTCAGCACTAATGTTTCCAACTACCAAACTGACATGACGTCATTTTCGGAAGATGGAAGGGGTGTTAAATGGCTATGTAACTAGCCCAAATCCCACCCCTACTTTACATAGCTAAAATCCAGAAACAAATAATGGAATATATCATCCAGGAATGATAAATAACAGACTTAAAATACTAGCTGCTGAAAATGGAGAGCGAATATTGAATACACCGCAAGCACGATACACACCATCCATGACAGGATCAAAAAAGTTTAATAAA